GCCGTCTAAATAAATACAAATCAGAATGACCACAGTGAAGTAAAGTAGGCAAATAGCCTAGCAATATGAAAGATTAGGAAGAGAAGAATGAATGAGTACTAGACAGAAGATAGAGGGTGAAGAGATAAGGGGGAAATTAGATATACATAGAAGAGAAATGAGCGTGTTAGAAGAGGCAGAATGAGAGACAGATCGAAACTGAGTTAGGAGGCAGAGGGAAAGATAGAATTTGAAGTGGAGGATGGTATCAAGGAAGGCTGAATAGGAAAATAGGCTGGTAGACAGATATTAGACGAACACTAAAGATTAAGGTGAAAATATGAGAACCGTGAAAGAAAGGGTGAGAAAGATTTCAAATAAGGCATCTAGACCAGGGTCGACAGTAGGATTTTGCTATCTAGTGCAGCGACTGACCATCTAGGGCTTCAAGTGCATCAACAAAGTCCATTAAATTCAAGATATTTTTTAGTTCGCCAGAGGTCTTCAAAGTCTTATAAAAGAAGCTTGGTGCCTCGCGTTGAAGGCGGCGCAGAAAAACGAGATGTCTACCAGTAAGGCTTTCTTTATTCTTCCTAAAATAGCAATATAGAAAAGGAACCTTAAAGTTCTTGCTATAAAATTGACAACAAGCATTTAAAGAAGAAATGTATATCAAAGATATCAGCTATAATTTCTTAGAGGTTGTTTGACCTTGTTTTCGTAACTTGGTCATATTGGTAGGAAGACTTAGAGGAACACACCTAGTCCAGAGTCCATTGTATGCATGATCATTTCCAAAGTAAGACCGTGGACGTGGTACATTTTCAGATGTTTCGCCGGCATCGTCAGTGAGTCTCACCATTCTTAGCACCACACAATGTGTCTATTTGACGAAATATAGATGGATATCTCGCCATCATAAGGTCGACAAAAGAAGCATATAATACCATAACAGCCTGATCTTGATAGTGGGCTATATTGCATTCTAAAAGAAGGTATAATCAAAGAAAGTGTTAGAGTTTCTTTTGAAATTCTCTTTATTCTTTTTTTATAATTACTCCGAATTATAGACCGTTTTGCGTACACACTTGACTATACATGAATTAGCCAAAATACTCTATATCCATATATATCTTAATTTTGCCCGCAATGAGTATATATATCATGTAGAGAAAAGCCGGCCAGTCTTTTTGATTTAGTGTTAACTTAAGGCTTTTACAAGAATGAGTCCCAGCTCTGACGATGTTCGTCACATGACGAATGAAAGCTCAGCTCGGCTTTGCTCGAAACGTTGGAGGATGTCTCGTGGACTGCATCAATCTGAACGTCGTATTAACGCCAAGCAGCTGGAGTACAACGTGAATCAGCCAACGTCTTCCGGTGAGATTGACCTACAAATCTATTCATCATGTACGTCCACACGAAATGAAACCTTCACATCAATAAGTATAGTAATGCAGAGTTAGTAACGAAAAACAGTTTAGACTAAAAATAGCAGTTATAAGAAGAACGATGTAAAGATTTAGCACAAAGCTTTTAAAAACTTAGTCAAGATCCTGCACAAGTTTCCTCGCAAGATGATACCATGACCCAAAATCGGGCCCAGTGTTTCGATTTCGGGACGAAATAACAGGGTACCGCCTGGAAACACATGTCTTTCTTGTCTCCGAAAAAAATTCGTGGGCAAGACATCATGTAATGTATTTGAGTCTATCAATAAGAATGCCAACTTGGAGCAAGGGGCACTTGGTTAATAATTAAGTAATTGGGAAAAATATGAGGAAATCAACAGTCAACAACTCTACCTAATTATCTCGCTATTATTTACCTTTCTCTGAAAAATAATCAAAAACTTGAAAATGGATAAACACTGATTGACCTTTTAGCAAGAACGAAAACACTGACAAAAAATAATCTAAAAAATGAACTATCGACCAAAAAATATTGCATTTCTACTCAATATATCAATACAGTGTTGCTGAACTAAGCCTATCGCTCTATATTTTCAAATTGTCATCATGGTTTGTTTTTCATAATGCTTTAAAGCTGCCAGTAGATTTTAAATAAGAGCTGTATTCATCCTAGGTCCCATAAGATTACGAAGTGAGGAAGGATTGGTTTACTTTTTCCACAATTATATGAATAAGCCTCACGAAGTCAATGAATTTCACTTAATCTTGTTCTTTCCAAAGGGTATACTTATCGACAGTGGAGTGAGGCATTGGCCTCCCTTAAGTTTCATTAGAACCCTCAAAGAAGATAATTTTTATGAGGCAAGGCTAAATGAAATTTAATGGAATCGTGATGTTTAATCATATCGTTGTGGGGAAATTCAATTATCAATCTTTTATCGCCTCATTCGAGCAGGAAAAATGACAATTCTTATTCGGTGCTTATGTTTTATACATTAATCCTCGAGTTTTAACCTGAGCTATATGACCATGATTTAGTAGCATCGTTATTTAAGAGTAAAAATAACACTTCAATTATAAAGTATTCCTCAGGTCTAATCTTTTGCATAAAAATGACTCAGAAACAGTACAGCTTCAGACTTTTTTAATAGGCTTGACTTCTACACCTAATCTATCGGTTAACTATACCCTCAGGGCTGAGGCTAGCATCTGCACTGAAACCGCTCTTGGATGGCTCCAACCCCAAATAATCTTAGGAGACCAATCCTCGGATCCAGCAAATGCCATTATTGGGCCACTTAACACATTCCAGTCAGAAATCTCCTTCCACAGTCAAAAAGTATTTGATGGAAGGAGCTCTTGGCCATTGAAAACTTGCCTCTTATCTTTACTCCGGACATCATGCTTTCTGTTGCCTTGCTCTGTTAGTACGAAAGTCTTCGGTTTACCAGTAGCATTACCCACTTGGAACTCTGAAGTCCAGTTGTCCTACGTGCGCGTTCTGACAAAGTCTAGCCATTCTTTACAAGAGCGCTCCGCTTCTGACGTATCGGCACCTTCAAGACAAAACAATTCACGAATTGTTCCATCAAGTGCACACAATCAGTCGTTTAATCTCTGTACTTTCTTCTCAGATCCTAAGTCGACAACGAAGGTCGGCGAACAATGACCATTCTGTATTCGATTTGAGTAGAGACGGTAATGACAAAAACATTTTTGCTTCTGAGACAATCCCACTATAAAAATATATGGGAGAAGTCTGTGTTTATTTTAAATTCACTTTTGCCCTGTGATTGATTCGTTATCCTGTCAGTTTGGCATACTGGTGGCAAGACAAAATTATACGCCGCCCTACCCTGGCCCGATTCCCGCTAGGGGTGCTGATTAGAGCTAAGTGTGGTAAAATGCAAAGAAAAGTTGCGTTTCGAGGAATCTCTTGTTTGATAATTGTGGAGCTTACTTCCATTTCGGGTGAAAGTGTTGTGTGAAGAGATTCGAAAAGTCGGTTCCACCAGAAAACGACGACGGATTCCATTTGACCAGGTGTCGATTGGCCTTACTGGAAGATTCATGCTGACGCTGTTTCCGAGGTAATCTCCTTTGATTCCTTCGTCATATGACGGACGAAAGCTTAGCACCTTTTCACCGGAATCGGAGGAGATTATATCGGAAACAGCGTCAGCATGAATCTTCCAGTAAGGCCAATCGAAAGCTGGTTAAATGGAATCCGCCGTTGTCTTCTGGTGGAACCGACCTTCGAATCTCTTCACCCAAAACTTTCACTCGAAATGGAAGTAAGTTCAACAATGGTAAAATGCAGTCCACACCTGATAAGAATTTACTTTAGAAGCAAAACGAAGTGAATTTCAAGTGCATTACAAGGGCTACTCATCTCAGTGTAGTAGAATTCACTATCTGTCTGTCATCACGACAAGCAACCTAGGGTGACTAAAGATCTTGTGCACAACCTATTCTGTACAAAAGTCAAGTAATTCAACGTGTCATGTTCACATCCTAGACCAGGCCATAGAGACGTAGATACAATATACCTGAATATGAATTACATTCTGTTTCAATGAACATAATCCATTATAGAACCAATTCTAAGGCAATGCAAGGGAGACTTAATAAGATTAAATTGAATATAAAATTGAATTCTTGAGAATTCTAATATCAATAATTTGCTTACCAAATGAGATTGTTCTTTGTCAACCATATGCTAGTCTGTTTTAAGTCCCATTTGGCGAAAGGTGCTTTTAGATCATGTTTTGTAGCCTCGACTAGCCAAGTAGCGCTTGGCGGAGTAGGGAATATAGTTGAAGCCAGGACAGCTGGTCCTGCAGATATCCGGTTAGATATAACTTGAAAGCGATCAGTCTCTGTAGTCTGTGGTGCAGAAGAGGGTGGCTTGGAGCTAGGTGAAGAAACTGAGGCGGTTATGAATGATCCTGTTTGTGAATACGGAGGCAGCAAAGATACAGTGGGGTCTATGGACGGGACCTAAAGAGAGATTGTGAAATAAGTGGTTGATAAGAACGTGAATATGTAGGTGTGTATGTAAACAGAAGGATATTTCGCAGAACAGCTATATTGAATTAGTAGCTATGTAGATAGAACTTGACAAAAGGGAGAGATAAACAGGCAGACAGGCGTGAAGAAAGGGGAAACGGGTAAATAAATGATTAAATTGAAAGTTATTCCATTCAAAAAAATAGTGTTAAACAAAAAGTTTTTCAAGAATTCTATTTATGCCCTTCTACGGATTATTTTGGAATGAACAGTGGAAAGGATGGAAACTAGAATAAAAATAACATAAAAATAGATAGAAGTTGTTTGACCTTGTTTTTTCAACTTGGTTATATTGGTAAGAAGACTTAGAGGAACGCACATTGTCCAGAGTCCATTGTATGCATAATCATTTCCAAAGTCGGACTGTGGACGTGATACATTCCCAGACGTTTCGCCGGCATCGTAGTCGGCATCGTCAGTGATTTTTGCCATTCGTAGCACCATATTACAACTCGTCAAAGGGACAAGTGAAGCCGATCCTTAGACCATACGTGTGCTAAACAGTTGTGGTATCTCCCTTTCTGCCCTGGCCTATTCACATTTCCTATATCTTCTTATCACGGCTTCCCTGTCACAATTTTTTATTTGCTTAATTAAATGTGGTATGGTGTTCTCTTTTGAGCGGCTTTCATGATAACGCTCCACACTCCACGCTGGCCTTCTGACCCTCATTCATCCCTGTGCTGGGAATGTTGATCAGAGTCTGCCATATTTTTACGCAGTCCTCCTTCCCTAGGTCTTACCTAGCA